ATATTGCATAAGAAGTTAGGTTAGATCTTTCCTTTTGAAGTACTAAAAGTAGTCTATATAATTTCTTACTTATCTTCTAGTTTCTAATAAGGAAGTTATTTATGGATCCCAAGCATGAAGTCAAGGTGCCTGCAATCCATTCGCTTGAGTTAGTCGGTAGTCTAATAAAGAAAAATTAAAATACTAAAATAAAACTGTCTGATCCGACAAAACATGAAGATACTAATCACTTTACAAGTATCTTTTATTATTAGCTTAGAGTTTAGGCATGGTTGCAAATTATTCGCAAGTAGAAAAAAATAACAATTTCTGTAAATCTTATAATTCTTAAAATTTTGCCTGAGAAATTAAGATCAAGTAATATATACCCTAGGAGTTCGTCAGGTTTTGCAAGAAATCCACATAAGCACAAACTTTACTTACCCAGAAAACATGCACAAGCACACGATGCAGCTGATCAAGAGACAGCCTGTCCTCAGGTTTTTCGCGCAAAGCAGCTGCCAAAGTCGGTCTAAGACTATTTAGTACGAATTCACGGCTAGTAGCCCAAGAGTTGCACGTTATTCTAGCCCCTAAGGCACTGGATTTAAACCGTTTGTGATGTTCGGATATGGAGTTTTGTTCAGCTACCATCTTCATTCGCGTATTAAAAGTTCGATCTTCTTGACCAGTTGGTGGGGAAGTGGTAGATATTGAGTCACTGGCCTTGGAAGGAGTCGTGAAAGTCAAGCAGCCATGGTTAGCAGCTCCAAAATAGCTCTTACTAATATCGTTATTCTGAGAAATTTTAGTGGAAGAAACCTCGGATGAACAGGATGGAGATCTTGAAACAGACTGTGACGGGGATGAGAGGGGAGATGCAGATCTTAAAAATCGAGTTGATGTGCCTGAAGTATTAGCAATTCTTGGTATGGAGTGGCATGAACCGGAAACCAGTTTTGAATGTAGAAGTCTAGTGCGGCGTGGCTTCTGCTGCTTGCTATTTCTATCCTGTATCAACAGCTGGCAAGTAGTATCATTTGAAGTTAAGCATACAGGCTCTGTCAGTGTGGTTTCTATAAGCCGAGCCAGACTATAAATGTCGGAGGCTGGTGTCACTGGACCTCTAACACTAATTTCGGTGGCGAGATATTTTTTACTATTGTTTGTTTCTCTACTGGAAGTGTTCTGCGGAGGGGTAGTTCCAATCAACGAAGGTAAGCAGCTGATGCTAATATTAGAATCCGAAGGATTTGATTGCGAGATAGGAAGCAATTCTGGAGGCAGATTATCTTTGGCTAGGTATGAAGCCAATTTAAGATCACTTTCTTGGCTTACAGACAGAGTACAAAAATTTGGCTGATGCTGAGACAAAAATGAATCTGTTTGAGTAAATGATGGTTCGGAAAGCTTTAGCCATCCTTGCTTTGGTAACAGAGGCGTGCATGACTGCTGGGCGGATACTGATGTGGGTGGCATGCAGCATTCAGATAGATGGAGGGCATAGAGCAATGAAATTTGCTGGTCGGTTTGGCAACGTCTCTTTTTTCCCTGATTACTTGGTGTAGCAGGCAAAGGTCTGGCAGAGGAAATTCAATAAAGAGTAAAGTAACCGTACAATTATTGAACAAGCTGTATGATTCATATAAGAATGTATTTGAATGGAGGTTGTGGGATGATGTGCAGTTGAGTTAGTTGGCATTTCTTCCATAAATAGCATGTTTTTGCTGTTTTTTTTTAACTTTAATCATTTACTCGTCCCTCATTGTTTATACATCACAGATTCTATTTCGAAAAGAGATTAAGACACAAATAAATGCTCTTTTAATAAAGCGTTAAGTAGAAACTAGGTAACCTGTGGCACGTTGACCTGTTTATTTAAATATTTATGCCTATGTAACGCCGTAATTATATTGAAACGTCGAGTGATAGCGTCTTTATAAGCTCAAGTAAGAAAAATCCTATTTGCAAACCACATATAAAGTTTCAATGATCTCTCCTGAAGTTAGTTTCCTGTCTGAATGAAAGTTATGTAGAGGTTGTTTGACCTTATTTTCGCAAATTGGTCATATTGTTAGGAAGATTTAGGGGAACGCACCTAGTCCGGAGTCCATTGTCAGCATGAGCATTTCCAAAGTTGAACCGTGGACGTGGTACATTCCCAAACGTTTCACCAGCATCGTCAGTGAGTATCGCCATTCTTAACACGACACAACAACTCGTTAAATAGACAAGTGAAGCCGATCCTTTGACCAAGCGTGTGCTAAACAATTGTGGTATCTTCGCTTCTGCCCTGGG